AAGGCTCTATATGTCGTTAATGGCAACTGATGAACTGTTTGAGTTGTCTTGCCTTATAAATGACAAGACAGTTCTCAGCATACACAAATTTCTTTCTCAGCAACGAACGGTTTATTGGATTCACTGAAGGTTCTAATACTGATTTGTCATTGCCTTTTATTCTCAAGGTGTCCATTTACTAGATTAAGAGAATTGGTTCCCCCAGTTTAAGTATGACTATTTATTGCAGAGTGCAGGTAATTTGCTAGCACTACTACAAAACACACCTACAAGGACACAACACAGAAACTGTGTCCTTGTTTTAATTCAAGGACACAACAGAAATGCGCGCTCTTTGATGGTGTAAGCAGGCAGAAAGCACATCCTTAAAGTTGGTAAAGGATTTTGAAACTGCATCCTTGTACAATGAAAAAGCATGCTCAAAATAAACAGAGGACGCTGAAACTGTGCCCTTGTATTTATGAAAAAGTGTCCTCGAAATGGAGAGAAGACGCAAAAGCTACATCCTAATTTCTCCAAAAAAGAGTCCTCAAAGTTGATCGAGGATAGTGAGTATCACAAAAATAAAAAATCATGCTCAAAATGAATAGAAGACGCAGAAACTACATCCTGGTTTCTCCAAAACAGAATTATAAAAAAGTGTCTCAAACTACTAATGAGCACTTATACTCCAACCCATCTGAATGTGTTGAAGACCCATTTTTATACGGACCTTGAAGCCCCCTATCGGACTGACGAGTAAACGGGAAAATTTCTGCTGCCATAAGGAGAAAACCTTGTTCTCATCTTTTGTGTAACTGTGAACTATGCCTCTAAGTGGATCGTTTTCCACCATGCTTCATTCATCACATAATGTTTTTCTAAAATCTAAAAATATCAGAAGAACTTTGTGTCTGCATACCATTTTTCATGCTAATCTTGAATCAGAAGAATTAACTATCAGCTAACTGTGACCAACATGTAAGAAAACTGCCTTTTTCTGTGAGCAAATTGTTTCGGACAAAAATACAGGATCAACTTTTAAAATTTGTCGAACCTGTCTAATTGAAAAATTATAGACTTATATCTGATGTAAAAGCTATTTAGATTATATTGAGCAATTCTCATAACCTATATAAACTGTAAGGATCTCCATATAAAAGCAGAGATGGTCCATTATGCTGCTGATGGGCAGAACTGAAATGACATTGCTTAAAAGTTTTAGGACAACGTATGACACAGCTAAAATAAATTCTCCCTACTCAATGTTTCCCATGACCTACAACTAAAATGAAAAACTGCTCAAACCATGAAGTTGACTTGACAAACAGACAAGATGCAATAAAATAAATCCTATTTTCTCCCAAAAAAAGAACAAGGAGAAAAAACCTCAAAATGGGATTCTGGCCGGTGATTAACCACTAATCTCCACACCAAATAGCTTGAATCCTTTCTTAGTCTCTTTTTGCTTGCAATCAGCCTCTAACTCTATGGTACTGCTTCCCGAAGAATGCTCTAGGACATAATTTTCCCCATTTCTTCTTTGATAGTCTATCATGTAAACTTCTCTCCCGAGAACCTCCCCTTCATACTCACATCTGTAAAACATTACTATGTCTTTCTGGTTCAGGTTATTCATCCTGATAAAGTGTCCCCAGCCATTTGTAAACATAAAGTTCCGCGTACTCTGCCAATATGAATATCCAAATGTCCAAGAACGGCTATGTTTATCATAAAAGGTTAATTTAACGTACCTAGCTTCATCTTCTCCTGCATTGATGATGCCTTCAGGTAGGGGAAGGTATTGAAATGAAAATTCCCTTGGGATCAGAAAGCACTTGTGAGTGACATCTCTATGAGTCAGTTCCTTCTGAAAGAGCAAGTGATATGAAATCCCTTGTTCATTCATGAAGGTTGTTGTTTGAGTTCCCAAACCTGATGAATGACTTGAAAGAAAATTCATAAGTTTGGATGAGTAAGTTTTATCCTTCAACATACTCAGAATTTCCTCAGTTGAGTACTGACTTTGGAATATGCTCTCTTCAGCACTGTATTTACTCCAATGAAAGTTGAGTGGGGTATCACCTCTTTGAAGCTTGACGGCTGCTCTATCATAAGCAATAGCTGCCTCTTCCTCCATCTGATATGCTCCAAGCCAGTATGGCTTGTACATATAGGAGATCCTGGCACCCCAGTTACCACTTTTCAGCAGACTTACCCCTTTGAATCTGGAGGAAGGACCTCTTTGTAACACCATGTCTACCCTTGACTCAGATACAAACTCTGCCTCCATTGACTCAGGGGGAAGGGGGAAGAAGGAGAGAGAGAGAGAGAGAGAGAGAGAGAGAGGTGTTCACAAACTGAAGACAATGTTGACAGCAGAGAAAAACTGATATGGTGAAATATGCAAGGCTGTAGTCTATTTAACAAGTGGCTGTGTTGTTGCTATTTAATAGTATAACTGTATAACACATACCAAAGCTAATTAAGGAAATTTGAGCTATACACAGATAAATCAATTTTGTACTTTGAACTCATCCAAGGATATGCAATTTTGACATGGATAATAGTATACACGAGTTCCAAATTGTGATCCTCAACTATAAACCTCATTGTAAAAAGCTATACAGAATCTGTAATGGCGTCTGCTTTGACGAGCAAACATGTCTTTCAATTACAGTCATGCTTTGTCCATCATTACAAAAAAATGCAAACACCAGTTTTATTTTTTTGGGGAGGGCAGGTTTAGATTAGAAAACCCTCTGATTTTTAGTTTTTTCATTTTTTAAAATCTAATACTCTGAATTTTCTAGCCAACTCTGCTTCTTCATTTTTTTGTTTCAATAGAAAATGCCATCAATTAGACAATCTTTGTCAATCTGGAATACCAAAAACCATTTTTGTTGGCTCCTTCAGTAATGTTGTGAGTGAGATGATCAACATAAAACAACTTGCCAATTGAACACATGAAGAAAAATTGTAATTGCGTAAAATAAAAAGTCATAATTATTTATATGTAGGCATAAACTAACAAATTAGGTTTATCTATTCAGAATTTATTCAGTTTCCTTCAGTGTAAAATTTATCTTTTAATTACTGTATTTAATTTGATATGAGAGTGATTGGATAATAGAAGATGCACTGGTCATACATTCTATAAAAGCTCCAGGACCAGATGAGACGTCGACATTGTTTTTTCAACAGTTGTGACCTATTCTGGGGAATGATGTTAATGCTATACTACTAGTGATCCTACTAGAGTAATTATCAGTCGACTAGTGTATGAAATGTTTGTACAAAATAATAGCAAAAGCTTTTGCAACAGCACAAGAAAAATCATATTTTTGTGAAGAAGCATTGTCGCTGTAAAAGTCATTTTCAACTCTGAACTTCCTCTTCTAACAAAGACGACGATTGCCTAAGTCTTGGGGCAAGTTTGTAGGGATGCTTTCATCCCTTGGACTGAATGAGGGTGTCACCGTATTAGTTGTACAACAGAATCTTGAAGTTCCCCGTTGTGAAACCCTGAATCCCATATTGATAAAGCATTGGGGAGATCCTGGGTACCTAAAGTAAGGTCTAAGAATCCAAAAGTGACCTTCAGCTAGCACTTTTGGATGATGCTTGGGTCGTTACAAATGGTATCAGAGCACATTGCCTGTGTGGGACTCATGGGCCATGGCTATCATGACAGTTCCTTGACGATGAGGGAAGAGGCGCCACCATCCATGCACGATGGTAAATAGTTGGGGAGATCATGTGGCCTTACCTAAGGTGGAGAGTCCAAAAGTCAACTTCAACAAGCACTTTTAGATGTGACCTTAGGTTGTTACATTACATCCTTAACTTTCATCGCATAAAACCTTTTGCAACAAAACTTTTTGTTGCCATACATGCTCTGTTCCATGTAATATATGATGTTTTATATTTCTTTGTAGCTTTGGTATTTATGAGCTCTTCTTCCATAAGAATATGTGAATCAACAGGGAGAAAGCATAGTAAAATGGCTCGGGGAAAACTACAATAACCATGATGGCAGCCACAAAGATTCAAAGGTATTTGCCAAACAATTGAAAGGTTTAGGGCCATTATTTGGGGGTTGTGACAAGATCCGAGACTTGACAATAACTATCTGATCTTAACCGCCATCACAAACCCAGGAATGATATATATTTTATGTTTTATTTATTGCACAAATTTAATTGACTAAATTTTCAATTTTATTATAATCGAAGTTGTCATTAAAAAAAAATCAACAGTATTTGTTAAATCAAAATTGGAGAAATTTACCCAATTTTCTGTTAATATTCTAAATCTTACTAAATCAATGAATGCAAAACATAATGTTGGATTTTTTTAGGAATGATATGGTGGGGTGTAACTGGAAATTTCCACGAATCTTACCATCAGATTCCTTTTGGTTGAGTTGCAATGACTATCAGCATTTCACAATTTCGATGTTCTTAACAATATGCTTGCAAATATTCATCTCTTGTAATGTATACTGTCTCAAATATTCTTTTCGATACACAATTCAATGTAGTGGTTGGAAGTTCATCCATTGTTTCAGTTTGATTTCTATAAATTTGTATAGGAAGTGTAAAATGGCTGGAACTATGTTTCAATACTTTTCGTTTTTGTGTTCTAGTGTGAGGTGTGTAGTACCCAACAAAGGAGTGGTCCTCGTTAGTAATTTTATATAAGATGAAAGTTGTTAAAAAAGCTTTTAAAATGGGTGGAGAATTAGGACTGGTGGGTAGAAATAGCGCCACTCCTAATTCAATTATAAGGATATCGAAAAGCAGCAATCTGTCGCTGTAGGTCTTACGCGACGAAATGTTGGTCTTGGATGGTTAAAATGATTTTTGCCATTGATTTCAAGCATGAATCTCCAATAAGCTTAACTTAAAGGGGTCGACTTCTAGCACAAACTTTTTGCATCGAAAACAACCACCCTCTGTCATTGTGAATAGTTTCAGTGAATAGATTCACCACTTTGTCATCAAATGTCAAAAAGAAAGGACTTGAAGAGTGAATTTAATTGACTCCTTAATAAACATGTTCGATAATTCCGTATGCAAGTAATTTCTCATGAACCCATGAAAAACATTTCATCGACCTCTAAATTCATTCAAATATAGAGATAAGGGTAAATTATGATCACATATAAAATTAGGGCCTCTACGAACCAGTCATTTTCTCATTGCTGACAAGTAACTTTATTTCCATAACGCAAATAAACTCATCCAAGACAGATTTACTGCAATTTTATCATCTTAATCTCCGGTATACCTTGGCTTGCGCTTCTCAGCAAATGCTGCTAGGGCTTCCAAGCGATCGTTTGTGTTCAAGGTTTGTTCATAGCATTCTTCTTCTAGTGCCAAAGATGAGGTTTTATGCACCTCCAGTCCCTCGTCAATAGCTTTTTTTGCCATCCTTAGTGCTATGGGACCCTGCTAAAACTATATTTCATAAATTTGATTGCAACCATTACTTGTAACTTTTTTCTTTCTTTGCCGAATATGAAAATTTCAAGTTGAAATTAGTTTCTACAGTCAGGATTTTCTTTTCAGTGCACCTATTACAATTTGGTCATTAAAACGAAAGAGGCAATTGTTCAGTTTTCACGTGATAAAGAAGTTTCAGCTATAGACATCGACTTTGATAGAGATTTTGGAGTGTAGATTTCATTTTTAGATTGCTCTCAACTACAATCTTCCCCCATCGACTAGAAAATAGAAAAGTGAAATAAAATAAAATCTCAGTGAAGCTCTAGTGGATCACATAATTTCATACCTTCTCATTTATATTGCGAGCAATTTCAAGTGCCTTTAGATGAGCTTCACCATCAGGAACACAGTAATTTACCAGACCTGCAGTAAGGTACAATCTCACGTCAAAAGAAATAAAAAAAGAAAAACAAAACAAAAGACCAAATCAAAGCTTTGGAGTAGACATACCAATCGACATTGCTTCTCTGCCACCAATCTTCCTGCCAGTGAATATGAGTTCCTTTGCTAATGCTTTTCCCACAATTCTAGGAAGTCGCTGTGTTCCACCTGCCCTGTGAATGGACGTAATCAAGAGAGGTTGATCTGTCACTTCATGAATAATTCCAAAGAACGGAAAGAAGAGAAAAACAATTGAAAAAAAGAAAAGAAATAGTAAAATAAGAAGTAATTGTGTGGAAAGAAATTTTTCTAGAAAGGTAAACGATATCAATAGTTTGACATGCAATTAAAAGCCTCCCATCTGTTATGGGATAAGCAATGGTCTGCTTCTAAACTCTCTTATAAGAAGTTGAAACGAAAATGGAGGTTGGGTTCGTCAAACAAGATGCAGGTGATCTGCAGTCCTTTGAGGAGTTTGAACTCATTACTGAGATTTAGCACATACCCCGGAATTATAGCAAGTCCTGTTTCTGGCAAGCCCATCACTGCTTCTTCTCCTAATCCATATATGGTGGGGGGAAAAACCACAGACTAAGCATTATAAAGCATTTAAGTAGCTTGATATTTCAATGAGCACAATTGCGATCAGTATAAAATGGAATTACCACATATCCGGAGATCGCATGATAAAGCCATTTCAAGTCCACCGCCCAATGCTGCTCCTTCAATCACAGCAATAGTAGGAATACAAAGTGCCTAATTGTATTAATTTAAGCACGTCAGATAAGTGTCAAACAGAAAAATGGAACCAGGACCTTTTATGGGAGTGAACATACCACACTAGACACCAACAGCATGACAGAGTAAAATTAGTACATATAATGAAGTCTCAACATATCCTGGACATGAGTATCTAAGTATTTTTATCTATGTGCACAGTGTTAATATTACATGTCCACCATTATACAACACTCATGTATGCATATTAGATGCCCACCATTAAACTACGTATGATACCAAAACAAATGCATTTTTGGAGTGTTGTACAGAATCGGAAACACTTTCGGCATAAGAATGAGCATCTCTCATCATCAGAAGCTCACTATCATGATTTGAACACCAGATCAGGGCAAATTCCACATTTTATAATAGCACATTGTGCATTCAATTTGTCTACCAAAATGCAACAAGAAACCTTGAAAATCTTATTGGGCAGATTTAATTATAACTCTGCTCTCCGACCTCCAAAATGCAAATTGAAGGAAAACCTGCTACCCTCTGGGACAGGTGAGCATACCAAGTATCAGCTATGTCAAAACCAACTACTCAACTCCAAAAGATGTTCCAATTATTATCATCCTCAAAGAGATTTTAATACAATGCAATTGAAGAAAAGGTAACCTCTAAAAACGAGAATGTGGCACGCAGCTTTGGGGGTTGTGACAAGATCCGAGACTTGACAATAACTATCTGATCTTAACCGCCATCACAAACCCAGGAATGATATATATTTTATGTTTTATTTATTGCACAAATTTAATTGACTAAATTTTCAATTTTATTATAATCGAAGTTGTCATTAAAAAAAAATCAACAGTATTTGTTAAATCAAAATTGGAGAAATTTACCCAATTTTCTGTTAATATTCTAAATCTTACTAAATCAATGAATGCAAAACATAATGTTGGATTTTTTTAGGAATGATATGGTGGGGTGTAACTGGAAATTTCCACGAATCTTACCATCAGATTCCTTTTGGTTGAGTTGCAATGACTATCAGCATTTCACAATTTCGATGTTCTTAACAATATGCTTGCAAATATTCATCTCTTGTAATGTATACTGTCTCAAATATTCTTTTCGATACACAATTCAATGTAGTGGTTGGAAGTTCATCCATTGTTTCAGTTTGATTTCTATAAATTTGTATAGGAAGTGTAAAATGGCTGGAACTATGTTTCAATACTTTTCGTTTTTGTGTTCTAGTGTGAGGTGTGTAGTACCCAACAAAGGAGTGGTCCTCGTTAGTAATTTTATATAAGATGAAAGTTGTTAAAAAAGCTTTTAAAATGGGTGGAGAATTAGGACTGGTGGGTAGAAATAGCGCCACTCCTAATTCAATTATAAGGATATCGAAAAGCAGCAATCTGTCGCTGTAGGTCTTACGCGACGAAATGTTGGTCTTGGATGGTTAAAATGATTTTTGCCATTGATTTCAAGCATGAATCTCCAATAAGCTTAACTTAAAGGGGTCGACTTCTAGCACAAACTTTTTGCATCGAAAACAACCACCCTCTGTCATTGTGAATAGTTTCAGTGAATAGATTCACCACTTTGTCATCAAATGTCAAAAAGAAAGGACTTGAAGAGTGAATTTAATTGACTCCTTAATAAACATGTTCGATAATTCCGTATGCAAGTAATTTCTCATGAACCCATGAAAAACATTTCATCGACCTCTAAATTCATTCAAATATAGAGATAAGGGTAAATTATGATCACATATAAAATTAGGGCCTCTACGAACCAGTCATTTTCTCATTGCTGACAAGTAACTTTATTTCCATAACGCAAATAAACTCATCCAAGACAGATTTACTGCAATTTTATCATCTTAATCTCCGGTATACCTTGGCTTGCGCTTCTCAGCAAATGCTGCTAGGGCTTCCAAGCGATCGTTTGTGTTCAAGGTTTGTTCATAGCATTCTTCTTCTAGTGCCAAAGATGAGGTTTTATGCACCTCCAGTCCCTCGTCAATAGCTTTTTTTGCCATCCTTAGTGCTATGGGACCCTGCTAAAACTATATTTCATAAATTTGATTGCAACCATTACTTGTAACTTTTTTCTTTCTTTGCCGAATATGAAAATTTCAAGTTGAAATTAGTTTCTACAGTCAGGATTTTCTTTTCAGTGCACCTATTACAATTTGGTCATTAAAACGAAAGAGGCAATTGTTCAGTTTTCACGTGATAAAGAAGTTTCAGCTATAGACATCGACTTTGATAGAGATTTTGGAGTGTAGATTTCATTTTTAGATTGCTCTCAACTACAATCTTCCCCCATCGACTAGAAAATAGAAAAGTGAAATAAAATAAAATCTCAGTGAAGCTCTAGTGGATCACATAATTTCATACCTTCTCATTTATATTGCGAGCAATTTCAAGTGCCTTTAGATGAGCTTCACCATCAGGAACACAGTAATTTACCAGACCTGCAGTAAGGTACAATCTCACGTCAAAAGAAATAAAAAAAGAAAAACAAAACAAAAGACCAAATCAAAGCTTTGGAGTAGACATACCAATCGACATTGCTTCTCTGCCACCAATCTTCCTGCCAGTGAATATGAGTTCCTTTGCTAATGCTTTTCCCACAATTCTAGGAAGTCGCTGTGTTCCGCCTGCCCTGTGAATGGACGTAATCAAGAGAGGTTGATCTGTCACTTCATGAATAATTCCAAAGAACGGAAAGAAGAGAAAAACAATTGAAAAAAAGAAAAGAAATAGTAAAATAAGAAGTAATTGTGTGGAAAGAAATTTTTCTAGAAAGGTAAACGATATCAATAGTTTGACATGCAATTAAAAGCCTCCCATCTGTTATGGGATAAGCAATGGTCTGCTTCTAAACTCTCTTATAAGAAGTTGAAACGAAAATGGAGGTTGGGTTCGTCAAACAAGATGCAGGTGATCTGCAGTCCTTTGAGGAGTTTGAACTCATTACTGAGATTTAGCACATACCCCGGAATTATAGCAAGTCCTGTTTCTGGCAAGCCCATCACTGCTTCTTCTCCTAAGCCATATATGGTGGGGGGAAAAAACCACAGACTGAGCATTATAAAGCATTTAAGTAGCTTGATATTTCAATGAGCACAATTGCGATCAGTATAAAATGGAATTACCACATATCCGGAGATCGCATGATAAAGCCATTTCAAGTCCACCGCCCAATGCTGCTCCTTCAATCACAGCAATAGTAGGAATACAAAGTGCCTAATTGTATTAATTTAAGCACGTCAGATAAGTGTCAAACAGAAAAATGGAACCAGGACCTTTTATGGGAGTGAACATACCACACTAGACACCAACAGCATGACAGAGTAAAATTAGTACATATAATGAAGTCTCAACATATCCTGGACATGAGTATCTAAGTATTTTTATCTATGTGCACAGTGTTAATATTACATGTCCACCATTATACAACACTCATGTATGCATATTAGATGTCCACCATTAAACTACGTATGATACCAAAAAAAATGCATTTTTGGAGTGTTGTACAGAATCGGAAACACTTTCGGCATAAGAATGAGCATCTCTCATCATCAGAAGCTCACTATCATGATTTGAACACCAGATCAGCGCAAATTCCACATTTTATAATAGCACATTGTGCATTCAATTTGTCTACCAAAATGCAACAAGAAACCTTGAAAATCTTATTGGGCAGATTTAATTATAACTCTGCTCTCCGACCTCCAAAATGCAAATTGAAGGAAAACCTGCTACCCTCTGGGACAGGTGAGCATACCAAGTATCAGCTATGTCAAAACCAACTACTCAACTCCAAAAGATGTTCCAATTATTATCATCCTCAAAGAGATTTTAATACAATGCAATTGAAGAAAAGGTAACCTCTAAAAACGAGAATGTGGCACGCAGTGTGTTGACAAAATCTCGAACTTCAGATGAACTCATCATTTTGCGTTCCTGTCAATCAATTAAAAGGGAAGGACAATTTGACTAGTGAGCACTATCTTCTCCTGTATATATGACCACAGTTCAATACAACTTAAGTAAATCAAACATGGAAAAAAAAATTAACAGAAAAGAGTTACAAGCATAACTAAGAGAACTTAATTGAAGAGTTCTTTGCACATCCAATATAAATTTCATTCGAAACATAACATTGATTAAATGAAAAACATAATTAAACTCCTACCTTCAAATCCGCGCCAGCACAGAACACCTTGGGCACTTTGCTGCGGATCATCAAAACATTAGCAGAAGAGTCCTTACTTATAGCTTCAAAGGTATTCTGCAACCCTCTCAGCATATCTTTCCCTATTGCATTTCTCACCTCAGGCCTCTCCAAACTAACCTCAACAATCCCTGTTGCCAAAACAACCAAATCAGTTTCTGCTTTGTGGGTCATAGAAAATAGGCATAAACAGATATAACCCATTTCTTCTTACGCAATTTGGAATTGAAATTTACCTGAATCGGAGTCAGAGAGTCTGTGAAGGCTGACGGAGTGAGAAGGTGCTTGATCCAAAATTAGACTGCGGCGAGCTTGGTAAAGCCATTGCTGACTCTCTGGAAATGCAGAGGTTCTGGGTTTGTAATGTCTCAGTGACCTGCTTACGGCTCTCAAAGCAGCCACCATTTTCTTTCACAAGCTCAAGTTCAAGAGGTTCCAGAGTAACACAAATCTTACGTTCGTCAATTGGAGGGAACTCAGCGCGGGACTCGGCGGTTGGAGTGGTTTGTCGACGGTTGGAATTCAGTCGGACTAGTCAGCTATTGCGTGAGTTTGAGAAAGAGTGGCAGAGAGATAGAGCGCCCTGGGAGGAGAGAGGACTTCAATACAAGCGTAATCAAGTAAGTATGCATTCAATTTTTTGTTAGAATTTTTTAATTGAGTGCCTTTGATTTGATTCAACTCAATTTTATTTGACCAAAAAAAAAAAACCTAACATTTTAATGAATAATAGACTTTCAATTTCACCTTTTTCTTTTTGCGAAAGTTAGAGGGAGTGGGGAAAAATTCATACACACGGATAAAGGTATGAGCCAATCCGACTAACACCCGATTGGTCAATTTCCCCCTTATTCAAACTGACTCGAACTCACTCCCGCAATCCCCTTTTTTTTTCTTTTTTTTTTTCTTTTTTCTAGTTGTCAATATTTTTTTTTTCATAATTAATATGTTTTTATCTATATGTTTTCTATATTTTTAGTTGTAATTAATAAAAAAGGAAAGGAAAAAAAAAAGAAAGTGGAGAGATGGAGATAACTACCACATCCTCGAAAATTCTACTTAATTTATTTTATTCGATGGAAACCTTAATTTTGATGGGTCTGTGCATAGTACGGGTAAAGCTGATGCAGGGTTTGTTATTCGTGATCACTGGGAAGTTCTTAAACTTGCTGGCTCTATTCCTTTGGGTTATTGTTTAGTGTTGGAGGCTGAGGCAGCAGGTGTAGAGTTTGGTCTTGCTACTGCACTACGATTTGGTTTTAAAAATATTCCTGTTGAAGGTGATTCACAGGTGCTCATACTACGTCTGCTACAGCAGGTGTAGAGTTTGGACTTAGACAAGTTGGTTAGAATGGATGTGCTCCCAACTTTACACCCGAGTTCGAATTTCCCTCTCTATAATTTAAATTAGATTAAAGTAGAATATCGCTTGTATAAAAAAAAAATTATATTGATTCCAACACGGCATGGCCCTTTTATACTTAGTCTAAAGTCATCCCTTCATATTGGGTTGTGAATGAATTTCGGCTATCAACTTACTTTGTGTTCAACAAATAAAAACTTATTGTCACTTGTATATACATGGAAATTAAAACAAATTCAAACTATCTCACAACAAATTATAATAGAACATTAATATGAAAGATAATTTAGGCATGCGCCAGTATGAAGTTTACAATTTTAAATCAGATTCATGCATGCAAGTCATTCTAGTAGGACATTTGACAATTTTGAATTAGATTCATGCATACAAATTAATCTTTGGTGTAAATGAATTCCCATTAGGAGAGATTTGACAATTTTAAATTAGATTCATGCATTCTAATCATTCTTTGTTGTTGTTAACTTATTTTGTATATTATAGGTTATTTCGGTTTACCAGTTAATCAAATAATTATTCTTTAAATACGGTGGTCTCAGACA